CCTGAAATCTCTGAGTCTTGTCCGGGAGTCACTGAGGATTTCTCTAGATTTACTGCTGTCTGGTCCGTTTGCTAAGAATATACTCCATAAAAAACAAACATATTTGCTACAGACAGTAGTTGCTTCCTTGAGGTTTCTGCTGCTGTCTTCATGCTAAATGATGCTGAACTAGTTTGGGACACAATCCACACAAATACAGCTGCCATAAATCCTCCAGGCTGACATCCGGTCATACCAACAAACAAAGAAACCCTTCTTTGATTGGTTTGTACCTGCGGCAGTGTTCTGGCTCAACGCCGTGTCGACCATGAAGAGGTCAGAGAGGCCCGAGGACGTGGCCTGAGGAACGGCAGCTGCTGGTTGAGCCTGAAATGAACACAGCATTTAGAGAAACGTACGTGAACCTGACGTGCATTAAGTGTAAACGTTGTCTAATTGGTGCTGTGCTGTTCCATCAGTACCTTGACTGAAGCGTTTGGACTGGCGTCACCTGTGTAATGGGCCGCGGCCCCGAGGTCTACTATTTTGGAGGGGACGCCTCCTCTTTTGCGTGTAGCCGTGGTCTCTGTTGATTGGACTATTTGTACGCTCTTTGTAGTGACCGTCTCTTCTTCATCTTTGAAGACTTTTCCTGATTGGCCATTGTAAGATGAGCGACTCCTCTCCTCCTCATTTTCACTGTGACCAAAACAACCAGAAAACTAAATAAACTTCTTTTTGAGAGCATGAGAATGAGGAAACTAATATTTTGAAACAAAGCACCGGTTCTTGGCGCTGAGTTCCCTCTAGGCTGCTGTGCTGTATGCCACTGTGTGCTGCAGGAATGATGTAAATGCCGTCTAATCCTGAAGGCTGTCTTTCTTTTGTCTTGTTTTGCACCTCACCTGATGGGCTGTAGTGCCCCCCAGTGGTGGCAATCACAGTTTGAACCCTTTTAGCTCCATGGTATACTGAATTTGTTGGTTCAAGTAACATATTTCCAAAACAGTCAAAGCAATAGTTGACACTTGCAGTGATAAAACATCTTTAAGACGTTATCGTTAATATTTTTGCTATTTTAACTTTTTAGTCCATGTGGTCAAACAACCATCACCTCTCACCTAAATCGATCTGGTGAATCATCTCTGTCGTTCTTCTTGAACTTGCTGATGGTGTCATCTATGGTGCTGCCGATCTTGTCACTGATCTCTCCCAACTTCTCACTGAAGGGAAACTGCCCTTTACTCTTGTCCCAGTCATCGTCCCACTTTCCACGATTTTCGCCCCATTCGTACCGGTCCCCAGCTGGGAAGAAAACATTTTTGAGGATGGGTTTATGTTCGAAAACTTTTGTGCGTTTGCCTGACTAGCGTTGCGGAGGACTTACGGTAGCCGCGGTACGACATACTGTCAGAGGACACGCCGATGTATTTGTCTTTGTTCTTCTTTGCTTTTTTTCGTTCCTCCCTGAGTTTGTCGTCGTCTTGAACAAATTCCACGAGTTCCTTAACCTTATGGCGCACATTCACGCCCTGGTCCTTCCCGTTTTCATCTGGAGACAGATGTCAACAAAAAAAAGACGTTTTTTTATTTAATAACACAGAAAACCCTTCTTGTATAAAACAAGGTGAGACAAATAAAATTTGGAAAAGCAGCTTTTCTGTGAGTGGTTGAACTAAGGCGTATCGTAATATTTCATTTCATATCATATCGATCTTGTATGTATTTATTTTTTATTAACAATTAACAGTCACATATACACAGAGTTGGTTCATTTTTGTAGCTGTGTTGCACACGTTTATTCCATATCACCAGGCAAAATTAGCTCCACGAAGAAAATGATTTATTAGACTGGAACAAGAACTTACCTACAAAATGGTAACTTTCTAACGATCTAAGGTCGTACAGATGTTCTCTGGCACTGGTCACGACCCGCTCTGATCCATTCTTGATGAGATGGGCCAACAGTAGTAGAGACTGAGGAAAACCCTCCATCAAGTTAACTCAGGTACAGTACATCTGAATGAATTGTTCTTGTCATTTTGTGAGCTAACACGGTTGATCACATATTTACTCATCATCAAAACGAGACCATGAGCTTTGGCGTTCTGGTCTTTTGTAAAGAGATTGTTTAAAGGTTTGTCGGAGCAGAGACCTTGTAAACTCTCCTCCAGTTCTTTTTGTTGTCTCTCAGCATTCGGGCCCACAGCATGTTCATCACCTCTGGGAACTGCTCATACATGAAGGTGGCTCTGAGCACGACAGGAAAATAAAGAAGGTGTTGTCGTGTAAGTGCAACATGATAACAGTAGTTTGGTAACTTGTCTTTGTCTATTTCACAAAGTTCATATGTCAATAACTCAAACTAAAACCATACAGGTTTATTACGACACATTAAACAAATGAAATTACAAAGAGAATTATTCCAACATCTTTACCTGTGAGCGATAAACTGTATGTGTGATGGTAAAAATAAATAAAGATAGATTTTCCATCACACAGTACATCAGTCATGTGACCTGTGCGTGTAACACTTTTTTTAGTTGTTAAAACACTTCATGTGTTTAATATAGATCATTACACCTGTCTTAATTATATATCATTCTACTGTGATTTAGGTCAAGAAATGAAGTTTCCAACATGTTTTTCATGCTCATTACTTTACCACAGTTTACCACATTAATTCAACAGAAGAAAGAAACAACTAGTCATGTTTATTTTAGTGTTGGTTGAATTATTTCTGCTCATGTATTTAAGGTTAACATTAAGTTACGATTGTTGAAATCTACACTTAACTCACTTTTACAATAGTGTTAAACAAATTAAAAACACATTTTGTCCAGTTTCAGGAGGACGGACACAACACTGTGTCTAGTCTTACCTCGAGATGTCGCTCATCAGCTGACCTGGCGGTCCCCAAGCATCATCGTTGGTTGCCTCCCTGACTTTGGATTCCACCTCTGAGTAGTTCATCACGACATTGGTTCTGTCAGTAAAAGGAGAAAAAGTGATAGTTATAGTTATACAGTTATACACCACGTTTACATATCAGACTGATAAAAAAGTCTCTCAGTGACAACATCTGTTAGACAAAACACTGACACTCTTTAAAGACTTTCCTACAGTATTGGACATGAAACCTTTGTTTAAAAGTCCAACTGGCATAGAAATAAATAACATGTATGACGCTCATGTTGTTTTCAGGTATCAGAAAGCCAACTGCTTTAATAACCCCTGACCTGAGGAGATTAAAATACCACTGGGTGGCATTTACATTTACAAAGAATTGATTCTGTCGAAGAACGAGTTTTACATTTCAATCGTAGCAGGAGAAAAATAACTGGTAAACTCCCTTCTCTTCATCTGGTGAAACTCACACCTTCTTTTTTTCTGTTTTCTCTTGTTAGTCCCTGCGTTATTGTCCCTGTGTCGAGGAGGTCACACCCCCGGGAGACAAGGAATTTACAACAGAACATGTCGTTTTCTACCAGCGCACAACACAGAGAGAGAGAGGGAAATATAGAACGGCCTTTTACAGCAGATGACATTGTGCCCACGTTCAGTCAGCAACTAAACATTAACCACAACACAAAGGAGTTGCACGTCCTATAAGGTGCACAAGTCCAGCGCCAGTTGGTAAAGTAAATTATTTCAGATGATAAATATATCTGGTCGGCTGTACTACTTTGAGCTGACACTCCTACAGTCCCACGCGCATGCTCATAAAATGACATTGAGAGTGTGTGCTTATTTCATCATTTCCTTCCTAGTGACCTGGTAATCACAATCTCACAATCTCATGCCAGAAAAACAGTTTCACATTTTAACGTTAGTGAATAGAAGGCACTAGACGTTTATGTTCTGGTTATGTGTGACAACTTATGTTCTTGTTGCCTTTTGTCCTGACAGAAGAACGACGTGACATAATGATGTGACATAACTGAAGACTTTGCTGGTGGAATGTGAAGACTAGATTATTGACATTGTGGCTTCAGTTTTGGTTGGAACAGCACGACTAATTTCATGTTTGTGGTTTAGACTGCGATCATTAGATTGTGTAAACAGCATAACAAAAGAGAATGTTGTAAACAAGGTGGAAAGTTGTAAACAAAAAGCACAGATCCTTTGTACTAATTGCTAAGTACAAATGTCTACACTGACAGGCATTTTCAGGTAGATAGAACTTTATTAATCCCTCGGGCGGCCCCTTTGGGAAATTAAGGAGATGGAGATTAAGATGGTGTTGGGCAGGGGAGAGGTGGAAGGTCCACGCTCAAAGACGTTAAACATTCAAACACTCCAGTGGAGTCTTTAGTGTCGAGCTGTCAAACTAGCTTAGCTGGGCGTCAAAGGGAGCTACAGCTACTGGGGCAGTTTCTTGTTTGCTAATGTCTGTTGTGGTGAAGCCGGGGTAAAAGCTAGAATAGGTGAGTTACTGTATTCAGTGGATGTTTTATTTCTGCCTATCATTTAAGCAACACCTAAACAAAAAAGGACACAATCCCTGAGGTAATTGTGACACAGTATTAAAGCATTAACACAGCAGACAACATGGGTTGCCTCATTTGCATCTTACAGGCCAAATCCCAAAAGATCAAACAGCTTCTGGTTTCTGCTACACAAATAGTTCACAACAATAGTCTCTGACTGGTCCGGTTTTAAGGAACTTGCATCACAGAGATGTTTTATATTTTATATCAGATGTGTGGTCAGAAAACAAAATGATGAAGAAATTGCGGTTAACTTGCCTTCATTGTCTTTTGTAACTCTTTTTTCCAAAGAAAGATCAATTTAATAAACACTAGTTGTGAAAAATGTTTTTAAAGTTACTCAAAATAGTTGTTATTGCTTCCTGGCCTGTAGGGACTTAGAATAAAAATAGTACTTTTACTAGATATGACTCATTTTTAATGACCAGCTGACAATTGAACACTGCATCCCTTACTGTACACAAGGCCCCCTTATTGGACAACTTTCTCTGGGACAGACTGGGGGTCACAGGGGTTAACTGGGGTTACACGGTATGGGGTGCACAGCAGGTTTTAAAAACATTGCAGTTTGTAAGTCTGAAAATAAAAAGTGGACCAGATAAGTAGAAACAGATTTCGGAGACATATATCAAAACAGTATATTTGTATATTTTCCTCTAAAACTAACAAATCACTTCACTGCAGCAGAGTGTTTTTCTATGACCGGTTGTGGTTAAATCTTAGGATACACTATGACCACCAAGTCAAATTAATTACATACATAAATTGCTTTTGTAATAGCTGTGATGGATTACTGACATGTTTGTTGAACATTGAACATGTCTGTCAATCGTTAAAGTCTTATCAACACAGCTGTACTGGGGGTGAACATTCATGGTTTTTTTATATCAAATAACTTTTCACAGTTTTGTTAAAACCTATGACTCACGTAGTAGAAAGAGTTACGTAGTTATGACGTGAGTTTAGTTTACTTCTGATATTTTTATTACTGTCAAACACAATACAGAACTACGGGGACGTGGAAATCATATTTAAATCGTTTTGTCATTTTATTTACACAGTTACATAAAGTGTTTTTCCGTTCGAACCAAGTTTGGGCAGTTATTTGACAGTGGAGACGATAAACTGTTACACAGCTAAAAGATAAAAAGTTAACGGCTAACGGTGGATAAAACTGGTCTGAAAATATCATAGAAACTGTGCAACAGTAAAATATATTGATAAATGATTCGATTGCAAATGTTTTTCAGACTGTGTCTAGCGGGAGACAAGTGAGTGAGTGCTGTAAGTCATAGAAACTGCCAGAGTCCGGAGCTGTCAAACTAGCTCAGCTGGCTAGCCTGGTTGGCTTCGGCTACTTCGACTTTAATTAGCCTGTTAGCTCCGGGAGTTAGCTCGGAGCTCCGAAAAACACTGAACTACACGCTACGTGGTTGTTTAACATCGCAAAAGTTATCTCACATTGACCGGACGATTACACAATATGTCCACTAGTACACAACAATGTAGCCAACCGTTGGTTATAAGTAAAATAACACACAACCAAGTGTAGCATAGCGACTAGCTAACTTGTTAGAGTTGAGTGACGTCAAAGTTTTGGGTACGTGTCTCTCTCAAACAGGTAATCTACACACAGGCACACAACAACCGAAATAAAGTCAACTTTGTTAAGATATACTTACGCCTTTTCAACCAAGTCCTTTACTTTCCACATGTTTAACATTTCGCCCTGTGAAAAGCGTCTTTCCTCTCCGTTAAAACCCTTCAGTCAGTCGTACAACGAAAGACAAGATTAAATTCCGTAAAGTAAATTCTGCTTCACCACCTCTCTGAAGGCAGGAGGCGCAAATGCTACGCACACTAAAGGTTACTGAGGGAAATGTCACGTCACACACGCTGCGTAATAAAGCAACAGTGGAGTGAGTTTCCTCATTGTTACAAGGAAACACCCGTGGTACTGTCACTGCCTAAACATTCTCAATAAAAAGTACATGTAGTGTGTCATTTAAAGTGGATTTAAAAACGTTGTCCAATTTAGATACATACAAACATACACACACATATATATATTTATATATATATGCAGGCATGTAATAATAATAATAATAATAATAATAATAATAATAATAATAATAATAATAATAATAAATACAATAATAATAATAATAATAATAATTCAAACTAATCTGCTCAGTAGTCTGTACTCGATGCTAATACGTAACGTCACAAATTTCAGCTTAAAGAAACGTTTATCAACACTCTGACCTTTCACAGTCTGACAAACACGTATGTGTGCATTTTTAATTCAGCCGATCTGACGTCATACAGCTGTCAGGTGAGACAGGTAGTACCATGTCGCACGAGAGGGGGCAGACGGGAGCCCAACAGGTGCTGTTGCTCCTGCTTTTCAGAGGCTATCGGTGCTAATCACGTAGCTGTATTAGAAGTTCAAGTTTCATTAGTTTGCTTGTTTTCAAAGGAGTAAAACCTACGAGAACCTGGGAGGTTTTCATCGAGAGGAGAAGGACACCGAACTGTATTAAATTACAAATAAAGGTGGGACCATGTACTTTTTTTTTAACTTTGTAAAAATTGAATCCGGTTCTACTCAAAATAATCAATGTGATATTGATTTAAAATTAAATGATATAATTAAGTTATATCATATTGTTGACTCATCTAAATAAAAGAGTTAAAAAATGAGCCTGTAAAATAAAACTATATACATATATAAAACTGATATATGTAATGATGTAATGTAATGTTAAACACATTCTAATAAACTTTAAAAATGTGTATAACGTTTTTAAATTTTATTAGAATGTATCTAACATTACATTTTGATTTCCAAAAGGCTAATTAATGACCCATCGAGTGGCTGCTGTGCAAATATGTAACGTAATAATTTCTCAATCAGTCCATTGACTCTCTTTAAAAAGAGAACAATTAGATCAAGATCAACCATTGTTTTGACTGCTGTGTATTATCCAGTGTTTGTTTCTCACATCAGTGAGGCCTTCACAGTAGTCGGTGTGTTCCTCATCTCTTATCATCTGGCATTCAGGCGTGCTGCGATGACCCCATGATGCTGTGTGACAGCCAGGCAGGGCGCAGGCTGTTTGTGTCAATCCAGATCCATCACTTCCTCTTCTGGAACCACATTGTCATCAGCGTCTAGGAAGGTCAGCGTGTGCCCCTACGACCGGCCTCTGAAAGGTCAGTTAAACGTTCTTGACTGTTTGAGTGTCTTCTTACACTTTTACAGATATCTTAAAACGACTCGAAGCTAAAATGCTGAAGCCTTCAGTTGTTTCTACCAGATAAATGAAATGGTTTACTACTTTTACTGTAGCATATTTTTATGTCTCGTTACTGCACGTATCCCTGAGCCTTTTCTTGTATTGATTGATATTCGGGCTCCCACGACCAGCCCTCAGACGCCCTGTGTTCTTTTTCCTCTAATGATACGTGTAAATATGGCCCAGTGCTTACACTTCTATGACAGAGTAGAAGGAAACAACACAATAGCCAAAATACATTCCATCAAGAAAAAAACAACAAGAAACAGCACTTAACAGCCCAGAATGCACTGCACCCGGGGGAGCAACCTCATTTACTGTTACACGTCCAAAGAGGAGAACTCTAGGAGAAGTGATTGCTGAGATGGAAATGGCTGTGTGTGTGTGTGTGTGTGTGTGTGTGTGTGAGGGGTTGTGCTGTTTGGAGGAAGATGGATGGAACGGCTCTCAGTAAAAAGATCTTTCAGAAACACTTGGCTTATGTTCTGTTGACGTGAGCTGTTGATTGACGTGCACGTCCTGACAGAAACTCGAACCATCAACGTATCTCCTACACATTAAGGACGGCACTGTCCTCAGGGAGGGGTCTAAGTGGTAAATGATGTTGCTCCACACACTCCCTGTCAACAATGTGTGTGTGTGTCTTTGCATTTGTCGGTGCTGAGGACGGCAAAGTATTCAATCAGAGCTTTGATTGAAAACCCCTCGTGTCCTTAAGGATCAGAAGTTGGAACTCTGATGAATACGGTTCATGTGTGAGCGTGCCAGCGTGCCAGCGTGCCATCGTGCCAGCGTGCCAGCGTGCCAGCGTGCATGTGTGTGACTTTCCGGCGGTTGCTGATCTGTGAAACAGGTGAAGCAAAATTTAGATCTATTTAATTTATCACTTGTTTTTAAAGCTGAACAGTGATAAGACATGTGATAATTTACTCCAGAAAAAAATATGAGTAGTTTTATAGTAGTTTTCTCTGGTACATAGAGTTTACAATATCTGATATATATGCAAATACAGATGGTCTCTGTCATAACTGCAGACAACAGGTTACAGTTTGTCTCTGGTCACAGAAACTGTTCCACTGCATTTTTCAAAAGTGCTATCAGTTTTTTTTAAAAACTTTGTCTCCTGAAAAGTTTGTCTGCTGAGATAAACAAACAAAATGATATTGGGAATATTTTAAAAGAGTTGAATAGTTGTTGTGTTGAGTTACAACAGTAACTCACACAGTGGTTCTTTGTAAATGTATCTTTTTCACTTCCGCTTTTTCCTGCTGCACATCTTTTATTTGCATTGCGAGTCAAATCAAAGGTTTTGGCTCTGGAGCTGCAGAGGAGGAAACGCTGAGAGTCCTGATGGAACTGTAACACAAGCATCACTAGGGGGCACTCTGACTTCTCTGTTGCTGGAGCATGCCGATCGTGTGTTCACCTCTGTGTGTGTGTGTGTGTGTGTGTGTGTGTGAATGAGAGAGATCAGTGAAATCGCGGGGGTCAGTGTGTTCTGTTTAAACGGCTGAAGTTCCCACGACAAATGTGGTTGGATCATGGTCTGAACTTTGGGTTTTTATGTGAAGAACTGGATCAGTCTGAATAACTCTGCCGTTGTTCTCTCTCTTCCAACATGTGCTTCCAATCTCCCCAAACACACGGTGCCTTCTCGGAGCTGTTTCACTGTCATTAAAAGACAATGTTCTTTGTTTTTTCACATTAGCTAAGAATTCAAATGTCCTGCCGTCAGGGGAGGTTCTGATCCGTGGAGTCGCTGGCTGCTGAGGCCCGGCTCTGCCGCTGTCTCTGTTAGCGTTCTTTCACTGCTGGTAAATTTCAGCCTGTTATTGTTGGACCTTTTCCCGTGGTGATATCTTTAGTCTTTTGAGTCTTTCGTTCCTTTGGTGATATCTTTAGTCTTTTGAGTCTTCGTTCCTTTTCCCAAGCAATATAACCCCCCCCCCACACACACACACATCACACACATCACACACATCACACACTATCTGACCCCTGTCTCCATGACACATGACAGGTCCACTTCAGTGCACGTGTGTGTAGGTATGTGAGAAAGATGTGCTGTTTTATGTAAAAACCGGTGGACGCAGGACATGTGGCTCAGTGTGTCCGTACAGGATATGCCCCCAACAGTGTGGTCACTTGTTACATGTTCAAAGACGCTGTGACATCTCCAACCACACACACAGATGTTCCTAATGGGACCAAAGTAGACTTTGTGTTCTTGTGGAGAACCAGTCTGTTTATTTTTCTCTGTAATCCAGACCGGACCGCCACTTCGCCTGGTGAGAAAAAGGATGCAGGATGATAAAAAAAACACAACATGTGGGCGGGTGATTAGAGAGGCTCCAGCCACAGTTCAGACCTCAGGAGCGAAGTGTCAGCTCAGTTAAGGCATCAACCGTCTGTGGTGGTGATTTAACGCTGACAACGTGTCGGTGAGTAATGGAAGCTGATGCCGACGTTCACGTCTGTGCGACTTAAGGCTCACCGCGCTCCCCACACAAAAAAGTTAGCTTGGTGTAATTATGAAGGTTTATGTTTATGAGTTCGGCTGTTACAGTAAATCCTGTTGCTTTGTACACGGGTGAGGGAGCATAAACATACACGCAGAGAAACCCACACAGGTACTCAAGTCCTGAGAGCATCTGCTTCTTTACAACCAGATTGAATTAGCAATTACAGAGAGTTAAAACCAGAAGCAAACATCTGGAGCTGTAAGCAGCTGAGGTTATAAATTTGAGGGCTGGGTGAGAGGAAGGAGGGTATGAAAGTGAGCCAGAGTGAGAGTCTCAAGGACGGTGCTTCTGATTGGCCCATTAACATTCTGGGGGTGTCAGAGAGGACCCGAGGCAATGAGAGAAATGGGACGGAGCAGAGGGCTGCGGAGGGCATCCGGAACACTGGAGAACACCGAGATTTTTACAAAGAAATAGAAATGCATTATGGGTAAATAGAACAAACAGAGGAGGTGTTGAATTCCTTCATAGGAAATTGCTCCGATAAGCGGCAACAGAGCTGTGGAAAATGCTGAGGAGAAGTTTTGGAAAAAGACCGTTGGGGATTTTTTGGAAAATACCTGCAGCTGTGTTGGTGCTGGTGTTTGAGCAGATGTTGAACATCACCACTTTACTGCACCTTAACTACAAAACACCCTGAAAACATCCTGAAAAGGTAAACAGAGGGGTGCTGTAGCTGGTGTGGTTCAAGCCCGTATAAATATGAGGGCGGAAAAGCACGGCACCATTACCACATCTGGTTCTGCTATTATTGGCACAATAAATTATGTAGGCAATTTATTTGCGCTGTTGTTAGAGTAATAGAATCAAATTATCCCATGTTAGGGAAATGATTATGTTCGAAGCAGAAACCATCAGGGATTCACAAGGCAATCAGTGAAGTAAGACAAGTGAAATGTTGGCGTTCAGCGCATCAACTGTTCCAAGTCCTCCACGTCGTCTAAAAGAACTCCTCAGTCCTGGTACTGAACAGCAGAACTGTGTGCGTTCACGTCCAGTGTTGTAGTGTCACAGGGAGGACGGTGGTGATGAAACAACCTGACCCC